TCTGCAACTCCTTCCAGGCTGGGCCTTGGCTACTGAGTGAGTAGGGTAGGAGACCAGGGAATGAGTGTCCTCCGATGTCTCTGACTTTTCCTGGGGAGTTACCATAGAAGGACCTGTGCAGGAACTGAGTTCACTCATCTAATTTGAAGCTGGTGCAGGCACAGCACAGAAAGGGAATGGCAGGAAGGAGGGGAGAGCTTTCCTGCTTTGGCAATAGTTGATATTATCAGTGTGGCGTCAGGTATTCAACTTTAGATGCTCCATAAATGTGCTGAGTGTTTTTTGGGATATACAGACTAGGGCAATCAGGAGTCTGGGTGAAGGACTTCCTTATCATGTAACCAAATTGCTGCAGTTACAGTAATTCAACTAAAATAAAGGATCTTGGTAAAAGGTTGTGCCCTGCCTGATAGGAGTGTTATTTTTCTCTGCTTAAGACACACAGGCTGAGATAAAGGGGGCGAGTAATCCTTGGTGTACTCTCAGACAGTTTGCCAGTCTCTGGAGCATATGGTCCTAAACTTTTGCAATAATTATTTGTGATCAAGTTGCATCACATCCAGAGTTTCTTTCTTGCCTCCAAGCCGTACAAAGACCCCTCACTGTTTTCTAATCCATGGCTTCTCTTTTGCTTTGACAACAGTCACTGTTTGAATGGGACCTTTATTTTTTCTGCAGGACTTCTCAGCTAAAAAGCAAAGGGTTGGCTGCACTGGACACTGAGTGTGTAATATATGTGCACACAAAGGACCCTGTGCCCTAGACAAGGAAAGGTAAATACTCTGGGAGTGTAGAAGAATATCTACTTGTTGAACCCAGCCAGGAAAAGCTCAAAAGAGGCCTGCCTTTGGCTTTACCAGAGACCAGTCAGTCTCAAGAAATCTCAGAAGAGACACTGCCCACAGCCAGTTGAAACTCCTTAAATCCTGCCCAGTAACACCAGACAGCACACCTTCCTCTGGGTTACACTTTGCAAGATTTTTACTTTCCCAAATGACAGGCAAGACCCAGGAATCCATGTTGAAAATATCAGAAGAATTCAGCCGTAATGGAGCACAGCCCAGATCTTGCTTTCTGGTCCTAGGGACCCCAGGGGCCAGAGCAGATCTAGGGACCCCAGTCTGCACTCCCATTCCTGGGCTTCATATCTTGGTCTACAACTTTTGAAGAGTCCAGTAGTTGACTGGAAGGCAATACCTGTTTCCAAGAAAGACCACAAACTGAGGCTGCCCAGGCACCACCCAGGAATAGTAAGTCCATGGAAATTCCTAACATTCCAACCATTGACTATAGTATCACTTGCCAGCACACACACAACTCTTTTCACCAGCATACCCTAGACAAATGACAGCCAATCAGAGGTCCTGGACCTTAGAAATCCCTCAAGCCCACCTTTGCTACTATAAAAACCCAACACCAATTGAGCTCATGGCTCTCTGATCATCCCAATACCTTAGACACAGGGAGAGGCCGAGATTGTAAACTTGAATAGAAGAAAGGATCTTTGCTTTTACATACAGGTCTCAGTCTCCTAGTTGGTTTTGAGGGGACTCCATGATCTGGACATGACGTTGTTGTAAAATACAAACTTTACAGATGAGTTTGAATTTGAGACCACAGGATGTTGAGATACCAATGTACATCTGACATTGTGTGCTGCATACAGGGATTCGAAGTTGCAAAAGACAGAGTTTTTGAGAAATTGCAGGCATAGAGCTATCGATGCCCTTTGAAAATGAGGCCCCTTGTCTGAGACAGAGGCACAGCATTTGGCATTTGCCCTGTATGGATCTCTGTCATCTTCATAAAATTTTTTGAGGTAATTTTCTTGTGTTTCATCTGTGCTGAATTGTCCAAGTCTTGCTGCTGTAGAATAGGCAGGATCTGGCAATATATTTTCCTATTTTTGATTGTGCTCTTAACACTGGCATTTAGCTATCTGGATTTGAGGTGATTTTACATCCAGGTGTTGATTCCTGAAATTGTCTTTGTTACATGGGTGTTCTGTTCCTTAGTTTCTCTTTCCTCTCTGATCTTCTGCCATAATTGATCAAGAGTTCTAGTGACCAGTGTGTCTTTGGGTTCATTAGAGTGTCCACTCTAGGTTCCGTGGGGATTGCTAGATGTGGCCTGACCTTTCCTAAGGTCAAAGTCCCCTTCAAAAGTTGTAGACCAAGATATGAAGCCCAGGAATGGGAGTGCAGACTGGGGTCCCTAGATCTGCTCTGGCCCCTGGGGTCCCTAGGACCAGAAAGCAAGATCTGGGCTGTGCTCCATTATGGCTGAATTCTTCTGATATTTTCAACATGGATTCCTGGGTCTTGCCTGTCATTTGGGAAAGTAAAAGTCTTGCAAAGTGTAACCCAGAGGAAGGTGTGCTGTCTGGTGTTACTGGGCAGGATTTAAGGAGTTTCAACTGGCTGTGGGCAGTGTCTCTTCTGAGATTTCTTGCGACTGACTGGTCTCTGGTAAAGCCAAAGGCGTCTTCTAAAGTAGTGGAGCCCATGGGCGGGGTGAAGTGTAGAGTTGTTGGACATGCATAAAGGGGCTTCTAGGGTAGAGAGCGGTGTCTTTCCTGGTGTCATGAGGACTGCTCTCACCTCCTGTAGAGCTGCGGGGTACTGTGGGCCCTAGTGGGGAGCCCAGAGTAGGGAGTACAATCTGGGGTTGCTGGCCAGGCTTTAAAAGTGTTAGTGGGAAGTGAGTGGTGCCTTAACTGGGTTCCCTAGATCAGTACTGGCATCTGGTATAGCAGAAGTTTTCTTCCAGATCTGGAGACCAGAATATGGATCCAGGAGCGGGATTACGATAGTCTCCAAAGTTGTAAACTAGTTTATGGAGCTAGAGGTGAGGTGTGTGGTGTGTGCAGTCCGGAATATTTTGGCAGGTTTAAAGGGGATCAGTGAGCAAAAGCCACAGCTTAATACTAATGCTTCAATTTCCCAGGGATCATTTATTCAGTCTTTTATATTTATTTGGATTGATTTGTTGTTGTCACAGTTAGTCTGTAAAAGACTTAGTTTATAGGATAAAAAGTACTGTGATGACTGGGCAGGTCACATAGCAAATGGGGAATGACAGGAATTCAGATGACAAAAGAAAATTAGGCTCTTAACCACCTCCTACTTCAGATCCAAAGGAATCTGTGGCCTTCTGGTGTGCCATCTACATATTCATTATATTCGTGGAAGACATTCTCTCACACAGCCAAACAGGTACATAAAACTGGGGATAAACTTGTCTTCAGAAGTTCTTGTGAGTAATAAAATAATTAGAGCAAAACAAGTTCCTTTACATGGTGTATAATACAAATCAAACAAGAGTTCCTTGAAAATCTGTTTCCTTGCATTTGTTTTTAAAAGTTTTCATTTCCTCACTATGATGCAGAATTACCTTCAATCATCAGTCATAGAATACAAAATGATTTCCAAGTGATCCTAACAGACACCATTTTCTTTATCATAAGGAAATGAAATATATTTAGCTGTCAAAACTATTTTCCACTATGTTGAAACATCAGAATTCCCATTTTGGTGACACACCCATCCACTGCAAACCCATTTTCCATTAGAAATGGAGAGAACTGGAGTACAGAGTGAGTTCTTGTCAGAAGAGATGGGGAAGAGCAGACAGAGGCAGAGAGAGACAGAAAGGGAGAAGGGGAAAAGTAGGGAGAAGGAAGAGACAGAAACTGTCACCACATGGCTCCATGCCCAGGACCAGCTGCCTTCTGAGAGACCACACATACCCATAGGCATCATTGGTAAAAAAAAAAAAAAAATCTTAAAAGCTCAAGTGAATTTAAAGATGTTTTTTGTTTAATTATCATATTTAAAATGAAAAATTACATTTATCTTGAATTTATAATAAGGAGTTAAATTACAGATTTTTTATTTTAGATTAAAAAACCAATAGCATAGAAACATTTGATGAAAATAGATTGTTGTAATTAATGTTTATATCAACATAAATTATATTTTGAAACATCTTTACACTCAAGGGGAATTTCTTCTCCTGAATAGAGTTTCTGCAGTATGGTTCATTTTGGAACATGATTTAGGGGGTTGAAGTGATGAGCAGTGTAACACTGGTTAGATTGTAGGAAGAGGAGTTCTTCCCCAACACCTTAAATCTGTAGTATCCTGAAGTGAGGGACTCCTACAAAGTTCATAGAGCTAATGCCTGTGCTGGTATTTGTTTACGATCTGACAAATAAGCTTGCCTGGAGACCAGAGTGCAAAGCTAGCCACACTAGTCAGCCATAGAGGCCAAGCAGTGGTGGCACACACCTTTGATCTTAGCAGCCACATTAGTTAGCCATAGAGGCCGGGTGGTGATGGCGCGTGACTCTAATCCCAGCCCTTGGCAGGCAGAGTCAGACAGATCTCTATGAGTTCAAGCCTACCCTGGGGTACATGAGGTTGATCCAGTCTGAAAGGGAAACAGCTCACATCTCTGATCCCAGCACGAGGGAGGTGGAGACGGGAGTGCAGTACAGTCTTTATGCCTGAGACAGTCAGTCTGGCAGTCAGTCATTTTGTTTTCTTATCTGATTCTTGTGTGTCTCTCCTTGATCCCTGAAGTGCCCCTGTGTCAGGTAAAAAGAATCTTCAGTTCACCTGACCTCATAGTGAAGCCACAGAACAAACACCTTTTGTGTTCTTACATCTCTTTAAAATTGCTAATATTCTGCGCACCCTTCCACCAGTGGTTGTGAAAGCTGTTCACACTGCATGCAGGAGGAAGAAGAGGACGGGCCTGTGGAGTGCCTGGAGGTGGCTGGATTAGCTATTGGAGCCAAGGGCAACAGTTATTGAAATGAAAATCTCTGCCTGTCTGGAAAAGTCTGGGTAAGGGTGGAAGGTTGGCTGAGGAATCGACTTGCGCTGTGTCTTTAAGCACGGGGTAATCCTAAGGGCGGGACTCTTGTCACTCAAGTATCACCAACCAATCAGTGCCTCTAGGCCGAACTGCCAGTCAGAAATCGTGCCGGGCTCTTCCCTGGCCTCCACTGCTCCTTTTGGGTTGCCGAGAAGCTGGGGCCAGTGTTTTCTTTCGCCTTTTGTGCTGCTAGTGCCGCTGCAGGGAGCTGTGAGAGGGCAGCGGGCGAGCCGGGAAGCCAGGAGGACATGGTGAGCGAGGGGCTGCTTTCCCAGATCGGGAAGATCAGATGCGGAGATCCAGGATCCTGCGTGGCGGGTCCTGAGGGCCGGGTGGGAATCTGCAGTCATATTCCGTGTCCTGTGAGCTCCCATGCGGTCCCTGCTGCTCCCTGGACCCAGGCACAGTCCTGTGTATAACTTTGCTCTGTGGGCTGCAGCCCTGCAGAGCGATGGGCTCAGGGAGCTGTGTGTGGAACCGTGTTTGGAGTCAACAACAAGGCGCTTTTGGTGCAGCCACGGAAGGCGGGTTGAATAATTTGGAGAGGCCTGTTTTCCCCAGTATCTTTTAGATATTCAGTACTTTGCACCTGACCTGTACATGTAAGGTTCATTTACAGGTAATTGTGTGGAGGTTGTAAAAGGCATCTCCTGTGTTGGGTAGCGCTGCACAGTTAGCTGTGATGAAGAAGAGTAGATTCATGACATAAAGAATTTACCCATGATTAGAGCTAGTAAGCCTCATAAAGCAGGAAATAACTGAGGAAGGCTGCATCTAAAACACCCCAAAGATAAGTTTATGCTAACCAGGCCTGCTAGAGATGAGCATTCTAGGGTACACAGTTGTTTTAACAGGATTGTCCAGACATTTGGCTCCAAACCTTTACAAAGGAGACACCCCTGGCTGTCAATCAGCCTCTAGGCCCAGTCCCATATGAAAGAACAGCCTTCTAACAAGCTACTCAAGGAGGCACTACAGGGTCAAAACCTACCTTATGGCCTCCCGTGCCTTAAAGTTCCAGTTTTCTAGTTGAGAAAGGCATAGCTCTGAGAGAGGGGCAGTATGACAGCAGGCGACAATTTGAGAAGTAAGACACTGTTGTGTTGTGAGGAGTGATTTCTCCCTGGGAGGACACAGTATTCTAGAGCAGCTGCATTCGCAGCCTTTTAGAAACTGTTTCTGAGACTGCTCTCTGCTGGTGACCCAGGTGGCCCTGATTTCAGACTTTGCACTCCAGGGTGATGACTTTGTTGTCCTCCATATTACATCTCCAAAATTCTTAAATTAAATGATTGCACCACCTCAGAATTTTAAAATTATCCATTTGAGTCGTAGAGTTGGAGTTGACTGTCCATTGCAGTAACAGAGGGATTGCCACATGGAGCCTTCGGACCAGAATAGGAGGAATCGTTTGTGTACACTGCAGGGGGAAACAGGGCAGGCAGTCAGCTGCTGGGGTCCAGTATGAAAAAGGCCTTGAACATTTAGGAGGAGTTAATTTGTAATTTCCCAGTAAGTGTTAATGCAAGTCACATGAATAAATACATTTCAGATTGGTGGGTGTACAATTTGAGAAAGTTGCCTTGGGAATGAATATTGACTGCACTCATAAAGACATTCCTCCTAGTTCCATGATTCTCTAATTTCATTTTTCTGCAAGACTGCTTTTTTTATCATTTTTATTTTTATTTTTTTTAAATGTTTATTTATTTATTATGTATACAATATTCTGTCTGTATGTATGTTTGCAGGCCAGAAGAAGGCACCAGACCTCATTACAGATGGTTGTGAGCCACCATGTGGTTGCCGGGAATTGAACTCAAGACCTTTGGAAGAGCAGGCAATGCTCTTAACCACTGAGCCATCTCTCCAGCCCCCTTTTATCATTTTTATTCTTATTACTAATTTGTTATGAGTTCTCCCTGAACTTCGAAAGCAATGAAGCAATTATCCAGCTTTCTGGCAAAGGGGGATCTATCATGTTTTTTTTTTTTATCTCTCCCCTGCATTTCTCTCCTGTCCTCTGAAGAAACTGTGGCTCACAGGTAGAAAGTTCCTTCAGTTTTCCTGAGCTCAGCGTGAAGCTGCAGAAGAAACATCTTCTGTATCCTTAAATCTCTACTTGAAATTGTTAATATTGTGGGTACCCTTCCACTCATTGACAGGGAATCACTCCACTCAAATACTGAGGAAAGGGCTGTGCAAGCTGGTCCCATTGTGTCCAGGAGAAACGGGAAGCGCCCCCTGAGTGCAGGAAGACAGCAGGGTTACCTTGAGACAAAGAATCCTGAACTTGCCATGGGGGAACTTTCCTGTGCAGATATTTTCCTTCACACATGTGAGTCAGCCCAGAGGACTGAGGAACAGGCCATTGGCTGTAACTGTGTAAGGTTACAGTTGTCAGCAGCCAACATGTTTATATAGTCAAGATCAATCAGTCCCTTATTAATGGCCTTTCCTCTACTAGGGAAGGACCTACTCCTTTTCAAAGTCAATATAACTAATTTTTTAAATCTTTAAAATACACTTTTTATTTTGAAAGTCACTTAAATTGGTTTCATTTTTAACACTTTCTGTATGTCCTTTAGTGCTCTTATCTCTGTTTCTGTTCTCCAGTATTTCTTGATCTTTAATAATTTCATTTCTCTTGCTCAAATGCTATTGATTTGTTCATTGCTGTTTTTTTTCTTTTTCCTCTGACACAGTGTGTGTGTGGGTGTGTATAACAGTCCTAGCTCTCGTGGAACTAGCTCTTGTAGACTAGGCCGACCTTGAACTCACAGAGATCTGTCTACTTCTACTCTCAAGTGCTTGGATTGCAGGTGCTTGCCATCACTGCCTGCCTGGCTTCATTTATTTCTGTTTAGAGCAATATCTCCTGTTGCCCAGGCTTGCCTGGTGCTATGAAGTCGAGAATTGCTTGGAACACCTAATCCTTCCACTGCTGCTCAGTCCTAAGAAGACTACCACTCATTCCAGGCTGGCCTTTGATTGGTCAATGAGAAGGATAACAGACCAGTGTATGAGAGTCCTCCAATCTCTCTCATTTTTTATTGGTGAGTTACAAATGATAAGGACTTGTATAAAAATTGAGTTTTTTGGGCTGGTGAGATGGCTCAGTGGTTAAGAGCACTGCCTGCTCTTCCAAAGGTCCTGAGTTCAATTCCCAGCAACCGCATGGTGGCTCACAACCATCTGTAATGAGATCTGGTGCCCTCTTCTGGCCTGCAGGCATACATGCAGAAAGAATCCTGAGAATACTGTATACATAATAAGTAAATAAATCTTAAAAAAAAATGAGTTTATTGATCACCTTTGAATCTGATGTAGCCACAGCACAGAAAGGGAATGGCAGGAAGGAGGGTGAGTGCTTTCCTGCTTTGGCAGGAGTTGATATTAGCAATGTAGAATCGGGTAATCCATTTTAGATGCTTCTAAAATGTCCTGTGTGTCCATTTCTTGATGCAAAATTTAAAGATCATAAATTCTCCCTCTGTGGTCAGTTTATCGTTATTGTACCCGTCTGTGTTTGACAGTTGGACCCTCAGTGAGGAGAGTGTGTGAGTTGATTGTATGCAGTGGTGAAGATGAAGGCGGGTGAATTTGAGATCACAGGATGTGGAGATCCCAAGCTATGAGACTAATGCCATTGAAAGCTGCGTATGGGGATTGGAAGTAGCAAAGGACAGATTGTGAGAAGTTGCAGGCATAGAGCTATCGATGCCCTTTGAACATGAAGCAGTATTGTCTGAGACAGGCATAGCATTTGGCATTTGCCCTGTATAGGTTCAGTCTTTCCTTACTTGTGCATTTCCCTCTCCTTTATTTATATCTTATTTCTTCCTTTCTCATCTCAACTGCAATGTCTACTCACTGCACTCTACTCAGTCCCCCAAACCTTTTCCCCCAAAACTTCTCTTTTTTTCATTTCCGTTTAGAAAAGAGGAGGTCTTTCATAGATATCCACTAAATATGGTGTCTTAGTTAGGGATTGTATTGTTGTGATGGACACCATGACCAAAAAACAAGATGGGGAGGAAAGGGTTTTTTAGATTGCACTTTCAGATTGATGTTCACTATTAAAGGACGCCAGAACAAAATTCAGACAGGGCAGAATCCTGGAGATAGGGGGTGATGCGAATGCCATGGGGGACTGCAGCTTATTGGCTTGCTCCAAATGACTTGCTCAGCTTCCCTTCTTATTGAACCCAGGGCTACCAGCACAGGGATAGCACCTCTCAATGAGTTGGACCATCCTCCATTGGTTAATAATTGATAATATGCCTCACTGATGGATCTCATGGACACATTTCATCAGTTGAGGCTCCCTGCTTTCTGATGCCTCTAGCTTGGTGTCAAGTAGACACATAAAACCAGATTATACACATGGTATAACAAAGTATAATAAGACTGCTCAAATCATCATATCAAGGCTGGATAAGGCAGCCCAGTTTAAAGACAAGGGTCTCAAGAGCAATTAAATGAGTCAAAGACGCCTCCCCCTATACACACTCTCACTTTTAGCAGGCTTACAAAACCACCAAGGTACGTAATCATAACATGTATGCAAAGGAAGTAGCCCAGACTCTTACAGGATCCATGCTGTGTTCTCCTGGTGTCCTCAGTCCCTCTGGCTGCTGTAGTTCTTCCTCCCCTTATCTGCAGGGGTTCCTGAACTACTCCTAACTTTTGGCTCTGGGTCTCTCTATCTGTTCCCATCATTTTCTGGATTAAGCTTGTCTAAACAAAAATGGGCTAGGTACCACTCTATGAGTATAGCAGAATTTCACTGCTTTTTTTTTTTTTTTCTAGTCTTGATTCATTGTATCCTAGATCTCTGGGCTGTTGAGCTTCAGGTTTTTGGGGCACCCAAGCAACTGTGTTTGGCATGCGCTGTCGTGCATGGAATGGCCCTAAAGTTAGGCCAGTCATTGGTTGTCCACTCCCTCAAGTTCTAAGCCGTCAATAACCCAGTATCTTTTTTTAAATTTATTTATTTATTATAAATTTCCACCTCCTCCCTTCCTCCCATTTCCCTCCCACTCCCCTGCTCCCTCTCCCCCTTCCTCTCCAGTCCTAAGAGCAGTCAGGGTTTCCTGCCCTGTGGGAAGCCCATGCTCCTCCCCCCTCCATCCAGGTCTAGGAAGGTGAGCATTCAAACAGACTAGTCTCCCACAAGGCCAGTCCATGCAGTAGAATCAAAACTCAGTGTCACTGTCCTTGGCTTCTCAGTCAGCCCTCATTGTCAGCCACATTCAGAGAGTCCAGTTTAATCACATGCTCCATCAGTCCCAGTCCAGCTGGCCCAGTATCTTTCAATTAGGACTAATTGTAGATCAAAGGTTTTATGGCTGGGTTGGTGTTCCTGTCCCAATACTGAAAACTTTGCCTGGTTATACAGAGGTGTTTGACTACTCATCCCCCGTTCCTAGGAATCCTCTCAAGAGTCAGTTTCATCGAATCCAAGATGTATGTATGTAAAGAGCTAGTGTTACTGCTTCTTTTTGACTTAGAAAGAAAAGTGATATACTCAACAGAGGCTGGGCTAGGTTTTCATATCAACTAAATGTCCCCCAGTTCCAGTAGTCTCTCCCCATATTCTCTCTCTCCATTCCCTCTCACAGCCTGCTCTTTCCTGTTCCCGTCCATCCCACCCCATTGTATCCAGCAAATCTATTCGATTTCCTCCTTCCAGGGAGATTCTGTGCCCCTCCTAGAGCCTAACTTGTTATTACCCTGTCTGGGTCTGAGGATTGTAGCATGAATATCTTTACAGCTAATATCCACTTAGAAGTGAGTTTATACCATGTTTGTTTGTGTTTTTGGTCTCTGTTGCTTCACTCAGGATGATTGTTTTTCTAGTTCCATATATTAGTCTGCATGTTTTATTATGCTCTTCTAATAACTGAGTTATACTCCATTGTATCAATGCACCATATTTTCTTATCCATCCTTTGATTGAGGGACTTCTAGGTTGTTTCCAGTTTCTGTCTATTAGAAATAAAGTTGCTATGAACATAGTTGAACAGGTGTCCTTTTGGCAGGTTAGAGCATCGTTTGTGTATATGCCAAAGAGCACTATAGCAGCATCTTGGGGTAGATCTATTCCGAATTTTCTGAGGAACTGCTGCTTTAATTTCCATAGCACCCATACAAGTTTGTAAAATTATTTCCCAAGGAGGAACCTGCCTCTAATTTTTGATTGCAGTGCTTAAATGTGTGAGTCAATATACCCAGCCTATCCATTTTATTTTCTTCTGTAGTTAATAATTGTTCATGCAATTTCTCTCCTGTGTACTCTGTGCTGTTGATCTTTTTTACTTGTCTCTATGTTTTTAATAGGCCTTTCTGTTGCAAGGTGATATCCTATTTACAGGGTACAGAAATGAGAGAGGTTAAGCTCCTGTTCATTTTCCTTCCAGCGTGACTTGGTGATTACATTGTAATGTCTATATAATGGATTAAGTGCAGGGAGTACAAGAATTATATGACTTATATTGTCAAAGAAGTGTACATTTACAATGTTGTCACTATCATGCTTTTGATCGTAAAAATGTATGGGTCATTTCAGAATGTAGTGACCTATGATGATGTGCATGTTGACTTCACTTGGGAAGAATGGACATTGCTGGATCCTTCCCAGAGGAATCTCTACAAAGATGTAATGCTGGACATCTACCACAGCCTCAGTATCATAGGTAAACCTGAATTTTCCATCATGTTTTTAAATAAGGGGACACCTGTTACTTGGTTTTTGAAGTTCGATTGAGAAAGAAAAATGAGGTGAATAAATCAGACATGGTTGTAAGGTGTACTTAAGATAGTAATTTAAATTTTGAACACTTTCAGTAATAAACCTTATATTTTCTACTATATTGTAGGATACAGTTGGGAAGACCATAATATTGAAGAACATTTTCAAAATTCTAGAAGACAAGAAAGGTAATTACCATGTGCAAACTGATACAGTGTGCCTCTGGAGAAATTGTAATGTGTCCTGGAATTTTTATGCAAAAGCAACAGTGTAAATAAGCCCAGCTTCATGAGCATTGATGATTGTGAAATTCCCATTAAATCATATACCTCAATTTCAAGAAGGTGAATTACATCTGTAAGCCCTTCTTTTAATAAACAAGAAAAGAAGGCCTTAACGATACCACCATTTGAATCATAGCTAAATGAGAGCTATGCTGCAGAACTGCCAATCTATTTAGTCTCATATTACTTATATTAGAAAATGTATACGTGTTGAAGAGGTGATAAGTGCAGCTCTAGAACCTTCTAATAAGCTCACAGTCCATAGTAAACTAGTGTTCCTAATTGTCTTGCTGTGACTGTGCTAAGTTTAGTGAGATGGGCATCTAGAGTCAAGGGTCTGGGGGCAGTTGTTATGGAGAAACCTTACTCTATACCACATGTCTATATCTGAAGTTTTCTATTTTTCTGCAAATACGTGAAAAATCTCATACACAAGAAAGATTCTGTAAATGTGAACTCTTTAATAAAGTATCTTAGCATCACAGGTATCTTCAAAGGTGAAAACAACCTGAAATGAGGGGAACAACATGAGTGTAAACCCAGTAATAAAATGAGATCTTATTCCTCTTCATAGTTGGACTAAATAGTAAAATGTATTCATATAGATATGAAGATTCAACTGTGGTTTGAACGTGGTAAATCTTTTACATGTGTCAATTATCCTTGCAGGCCTGAACGAAATCACACTGGAGAGAAACCTTCTGTGTGTAGTCAGTATGTTAAAGTCTTTGCTTATGACAGGCATCTTCAAAGGCATGAAAGCACACATATTGGAGAGAAACTGTATGAAGTTAGTCTATGTGGTGGAGCCTGTGAACGTGAGAGAAATCTTCAAATGAATGAAAGAGCACAGACTGAAGAGAAACCCTATGAATATAATCCATGGGGTGGGGCCTTTACTCCTCACAGTCATCTCCGAAGGCATGAAAGAACACATACTGAAGAGAAGCCCTATGGATGTGATCAGTGTGGTAAAGCCTTTGCACATCCTAGGAATCTTCAAATGCATAAAAAAACACATAGTGGAGAGAAACCCTATAGATGTGATCAGTGTGGTAAAGCCTTTGCACATCATACAAAACTTCAGATACATAAAAGAACACATACAGGGGAGAAACCCTATGGATGTGATCAGTGTGGTAAAGCCTTTGCTTATCATAGTAATCTTCAAGTACATAAAAGAACACATACTGGAGAGAAGCCCTATGGATGTGATCAGTGTGGTAAAGCCTTTGCACATCCTAGAAATCTTGAAGTACATAAAAGAACACATACTGGAGAGAAACCTTATGAATGCAATCAATGTGGTAAATCTTTTGCTTATCACAATACTTTTCAAATGCATAAAAGAACACATACCGGAGAGAGACCATATGACTGTAATCTATGTGGTAAAGCCTTTACAAGTTACGGTAGTCTTCAAAGACATAAAAGAATACATACTGGAGAGAAGCCCTATGAATGTAACCAATGTGAAAAAGCATTTGCTGATTTCAAATCTTTACAAATTCATAAAAGAAGCCATACTGGAGAGAAACCATATGAATGCAATGAATGTGGGAAAGCCTTTACACAACACACTAATCTTCAAACACATAGAAGAAAACATACTGGGGAGAAACCCTATGAATGTAGTCAGTGTGGTAAAGCTTTTGCATGTCACAGTAGTCTTCAGATACATAAAAGAACACATACTGGAGAGAAACCCTATGAATGCAATCAGTGTGCTAAAACCTTTGCACAAATTAGTCACCTCCAAACACATAAAAGAACACATACTGGAGAGAAACCCTATGAATGTAATCAGTGTGGTAAAGCCTTCGCTTCTCACAATGCTCTTCAAATGCATAAAAGAAGCCATACTGGAGAGAAACCCTATGAATGTAATCAATGTGGTAAAGCCTTTACACAACACACTAATCTTAAAATACACAGAAGAAAACATACTGGAGAGCAACCCTATTAATATAGTCAATATCATAAAGCCTTTGAATGTCACAGTAATCTTCAAATGTATACAAGAACACATACTGGAGAGAAACCGTATGAGTGTAATCAATGTGGTAAGGCATTTCCTCACCATAATGGTCTTCAACTACATGAGGGAACACATACTGTTGAGAAACCCTATGAATCACTGTGGTAACGTCTTTGCGTTAATCAGCAATCTATGAACTTATCAGAAAAAGATGTTCTGCAGATAAACTCTAAATATATAGTCAGTGTGGCAAAATTTTGCAGTTTATACAGGAACAAACCTGTTTGTGGGCCTTTTATTAAAAGCCTTTTTTGAAAGCCTTTTTTATTGCAATAGTCTTTGATTGCCTATAAAATATTCTGAGAGCACATTATCTGTAAAGTAGTTGGTAAGCTCTCTATCCAACACATAGTCTTACGTGAAAGGGTATTTACTCTGGAAAAATTTGACAGTGTCACCCATCTGTTCAAAATTTATGTTGTCCAGCCAGGCACTGGTGGCGCATGCCTTTAATCCCAGCACTTGGGAGGCAGAGGCAAGTGGATCTCTGTGAGTTCAAGACCAGCCTGTTCTACAAGAGCTAGTTCCAGGACAGGCTTCAAAACCACAGAGAAACCCTGTCTCAAAAAACAAAAAGAAAAAATAATTTATGATGTCCGTTTTTATATTATTTGCCTCTGCAAATGATGGGGAAAAAATCAGTTAAGAATTTATGAAACCCTATGTGTAGGGAAAAAGTTCGAGTCAAAAAACACACCCTCAGCAGAGAAGTGGGTCTCGAGTCTGGGATGTCTGGAAGGTGAAATGAGTCCAGGAACACAGGATTCTGATGCAAGCTGACAGACCATCAGCTGCAGGCCAAGTTCTTCCTCTTCCTCTGTTCCTTGCCTCGAGCTTCAAACCTCAGTCTTTTATTGTAAATTTTACACAAGGAAAATGATTCTTTTTTCTTGCCACAGGTCAATCATTACCTGGACCTAGCAGTTCACAAGAAGTATAAAAATTCTTTGAAGGCCAGGCAGTGGTGGCGCACGCCTTTAATCCCAGCACTTGGGAGGCAGAGGCAGGCGGATCTCTTTGAGTTTGAGACCAGCCTGGTCTACAAGAGCTAGTTCCAGGACAGGCTCCAAAACCACAGAGAAACCCTGTCTCGAAAAAACAAAAAAAAAAAAAAAAAAAAGATTCTTAGATATCAGAACACAATCATTCATTTTGACATTTTCCCAGTTCCTAACCCCATGCCAGTCACTATATTCTTAATTCTTAGCTGAGTTAATCATAGAACAACTTCTGAGGGTTTTACCTCAGAGGCTAACTGCTGCAGTTTACAGAAGCATAGTTCAGTGGGTTTTACTCCATTGTCATAACTTCAATTTGATTAATAAGGCCATAGGCAGTCAGCCCTAAAGCCCTAGGTTCTTTTGGAACTTTGTTGATCGTAACCAAGTTCTTTTCTGTTTCAGTATAATTCTTTTGCCAAGTTTTATAATCAGGTAAACAAAACAATTTCTGCATTTTCCCAAATTTCTGCAATTCTTTCATCAGCCAGGTTTTTTTCCCATAACCTACTTCATAGATTTATTGCCTGCCCACTCTCTCTGATCAGAAAGACTCATATTGTACAGCACATCTATATTTTCAGAAGCTACTAGTGAGGAAAGAGAAAAAGAACATGAAGAACAAGTGCACTAGCAGAATTGCATAATCAGAATCATCTGTAACAGTGCCGAATGCTTAAGCAGATTCCATAATAGTGGTCCTTTGGGGCACGTAGATGTTTTCTTCTTGGTACTCAAGGAGCATGCTCATTTAGCTGCCATTAGGTTACATGGAGGGAACTGCTTCCTGCATCTCAGGAATTGCACATGGAAGGGGGCTATGCTTTTCAGTCTCTCAGCACAGGTCTGACAGCAGAACCAGTGAAAGGCACATTGGGCCTAAAATCAAAGTAAAAACTCACACTCTACCCCTGACCTACTACTGAGCTTGAAATCCCTGTGCAGGAAAACCAACCAATCCCAGAGCACACAACCAACCAATCACAGCATGAAACTCACCATATCCTGAGCTTGTTTAAGCTCAGGAATTGAAATCCAACCAATTCTTACCCTCGAAATACTCTTCCTGGAAAACTCTGCCTCTAAGGGGCCCCATATAATATCTGTGCCTAACAGAAGGTGAAAGACCCCCACTCACTAAGCAGCAGTAACGCCATTTTGCAAGGCTTAAACTTTGGAGCAACATAAGTAAAATTAGAGCAGGGAAGTTCAACTTGAGAACAAGGGCGGAGAGGCCAGGCAGTCAGCCATCTGGCCCCAAGCGATAAGGAGCCAACTAGAAACAGGGAAAGTAGAAGGCCCTCTGGACACCCCCTCCCAGAACCCAAAGCTGGCCTGCTCTCATAAGAACATCCCGTTTGCTTAGGGAAACAGGATGCCTATAGTCAGTGAAAGACCCCCACCTAGCAGCATTAAGTTAGCAGCAGCCATAACAAGGTTTGAATTCTTTTAGCAATATAACTAAATGCTAGGATATGGGAATTCAATTTAGAGATAAGGGCGTTGGCCAACTTAGGGGCAGGGGCGTTGAGCCAGGCAAGATATCTATGGTCAACCATCTGGACTGCCAGCAGGGGACTTGGGGTCCAGAGGAAGAGTTTGAGCCTTAGATGGGCCAAGTCAGCATGCATGTTTGATTTCTTGGAAACCATAGAACTGCACCCGAGCCTTATTTGAATTGCCCAATCAGAACCCTGTAACTATGCGTCTCGCTTCTGTACCCGCGCTTCTGCCTCCCCACCTTATAAAAATTCACTGCCCCAACCTGAGGGCGCGCTTGTCTCCCGAGAGACTAAGTCGCCCCAGGTACCTGTGTACTGAATAAAGCCTCTTGCTATTTGCATCCGAAGAGTGGTCTCGCTGTGCCTTGGGAGGGTCTCCTCAGCCTGAAAGACTGCCCACCACTGGGGTCTTTCAGAAGGCAGCTGTCATTTTCTACTCTGCTAGAGGCAACCACTCTCCTGGATTCATACCTCCTAAATAAATCCTTTAAGCCAGATTTTGGTGGAGACCCTTCACTCAAGGAGAGCAGAAACCTTGCATGCAATCTCCCTAGTGGAGCAGAGCAGAGAAGCAAGGGATACCTCTGCTCAGATACTCCATCACGGGGGCACAGCAAATGCGGCAACATTTCTTAGGTGAGAGAAGCCGAGAAGTAACAGTTTGGTCCAGAGCTAAGTAGAAATGAACATCTCTGCTGGGAAATTCCCTAGTGGAGCGGAGCAGAGAAGTGATGGGCATTTCTGCTCTGATAGTCACTAGTGGAGCAGATTAGGAAAGTGATGGACAAGTTTTCGGGGAAACTCCCTGAGGGGGTAGAGCAGTGTGGTGATGGACATCTCCGCTGGGAAGTTCTCTTAGCAGAGTAGAGTGGAGCCCAGCTCTAATGACTCAGAGAGGAGCAACGTTGCCACATGATGCTGGGGACCGTACCCCACCAGGACACAACTGCAGGTAAGGCCTGACTTCCTGGCAGTCAGTATTTCTCCTTACAGCGTTAGGTTCCCAGGATACCTTCTGTTTACTGCTGTGTATATAGCCTGACTCCCACCCGCTAGGGTAACATCTTTGACAGTGCCACAGTTATCTTGGATACTTTCCCTCCATCGCTTCATTTGTAGCCTGACTTCCCAATATTCAGGATTCCTTTATCCTCACAGCTGTAGATACCCTTAATATCTACCCTGAAGCATAGCAGTGAGGAGATGGAGGCTAGAGAATGGAATTTTAAATAAAACTGGTTTCATGTAGGTGTTCATAATCCAGAACTGTAAAGAGTTTCACAGAATGAAGAACTATCAACTTGGCATCGTGTGGAATCTTCATGTGAGAGGAATTATTTGCTAGTACAGGTATTTATGGAGGCTCTTAATGTGGGCCCATTTCCACTTGCCTGTCAGTCAGAGATGGAGGGTGGTCCAATGGTTGACAAGTATATTTGTGTTTCCCAGCTCAGGGTGTGATTGCTTGATTCTTTTAACATTAAAATAACTCATACAGGTAGGTCCATGCCATCAGGACAGGTGAATATACTTCTACTCCTTTTGTAGCTATGAGGTCACCTGGGGAATGGCTGCCTTCAGGAATGGAGGTCTAGGGCAACTTCACTGCCTAACCCACAGCGTTCTAATGATTCAATGCCTCAGAGTGTTGGAGTGAATGAGTCTTTGAATTGTCCTCTGTATCCTGTTAGTAAAGTCTTCTATTACATTCTCACCTCCCATTTGCATTCTGTATGAAAGGTATAGAAAAATACACATGGGAAATTTCAATAATCACTAGCATGCCCTCCTGGTGTTATTCTATGGTTTCTTTTCTGTTATTTTTTCTATGTCTCTGTATTCTTTACTTATATTTCTAAAGTCCTGTGCCCTTACCCCAGGAAGAGGTTTTTTTTTCAAGGCCAGTCCTCCACAGGTATTGTGTATATTTTAAAATTTATGAACTTCCCTGTTACCTGCCTATACCAATGGATGGTATTATAATTTATGTGCATTTTAATTGCCAAGTGTGTCAAAGACATCTAGCTAAGGTTTAGCAATGAACAAGTTTCAAACTGGTATAAGTAGCTCTGTAGGCCAGTGCATATTGTGTGTTTGAGAAACTGTAGCCACTGTTTCTTTAGATCAAACTAAGCAGTAAAGCCCTCTACCACATGGAGTTGATCTAGGATAGTTTGGTAGTAAACTTGAGTTTCTTCTTGTATGTTTGAAAAAAATCACATAAGACAGTTTATTTACACTGGTTTTAGGTGCCAGAAATTAAGTTTATTTACATGTACTTGTGAGATGTTGAGATGACTCATCAGCTCCAATCATGTTGCCATACAAGCACAGTAAGTTTAATCCTGGTAACACATGGTACAAAGAAAGAAATCTTGAAAGTTTTCCATTGTCTAGTACACAAAAGGTATAGCACGTACCTGCATTCACACATCAAAAATGACACACATCACACCTCTCTCTCTCTCTCTCTCTCTCTCTCTCTCTCAGACACACACACACACACTCATATATATATATATATACACACACATATCACACACATGAATATACACACACACGAATATACACACACACATATATATGCACACACATCACACACCTTTCTCACACACTCACATATATATACACACACGAATATACACACACACATATATATACACACACATCACACACCTTTCTCACACACTCACATATATATACACACACGAATATACACACACACATATATATACACACACATCACACACCTCTCTCTCT